GCATGAAACATTTGTATGTTGTTTAATATTTGTTTTGGTTTTGGATGTTTTCTGGGTTGATCTAATAATACTGTTACATTAACTGACCATCTTCTTATCCATGAGATATTTCTGGGTTGTGTTCTCTGATTGCAATGTAAAGGTTTGATCGGAGAAGTCTTGATCATATAGAAATTCTTTGGCTTTCAGAGGTGTATTGGTGTTCCAATCCAATCACATCTCCAAAATTAGATGAATTTGCATTGAATTTCATTTTTTTTTTCCCGAGGAATTTCATTCATTGTCCTTAAAGAATCTTACGGGGAATTATAGATGGCAAAGGGCACGTTTGACAAGGCTTTTATTTTTGCTTCTTGTAGAAGAGTTTTTTGAGAAAGCTACTTTCATTTTTTGTTTGAAAATTAGAAAAAATTTCATTGATCCAACTTTCTCTGAAAACTTTTCTAACAGCTAGAAGCACTTTAATAAAATTAATCAAACATGTCCAAAAGCAATTTTTGGATATCAAAAGCTGCTTTTGACTTTTCAAAATTTATACCAAATGGGCCTAAAAAGGATTTGAGGATCATGTTATTTTATAGTGTTAGAACAAGAATTGCTTGGAAAGAATGTACTTGATTTCTTGCTAACTCTAGGTATCGTGCGATTACGAGCGCCTATTACCGAGGAGCTGTTGGCGCTCTACTTGTTTACGATGTCACACGCAATGTAACATTCGAAAATGTGGAAAGATGGCTGAAGGAGCTTCGAGGTCACACGGACACGAACATTGTGATCATGCTGGTTGGAAATAAAGCAGATCTTCGTCATCTGCGCGCTGTTCCTACAGAAGACGCCAAGGCATTTGCTGAAAGGGAGAGCACATTTTTCATGGAAACTTCAGCTCTGGAAGCTTTGAATGTCGAAAATGCCTTCACAGAAGTGTTGACACAAATCTATCATGTAGTCAGCAAGAAGGCTCTCGACGTAGGAGATGATCCTGCTGCTTTGCCCAAGGGGCAAACCATTAATATCGGAACCAAGGACGATGTATCGGCCGTAAAGAAGACTGGATGCTGCTCCGGCTAGATCCTGAGGAAATAAGATTCAAGGCATGAAGAATTTTAACTTCCCAGGAAAAGCAAATGTATAGAAAAAGAGGCCTATTAGTTTGTTGAGTAGGGAAATTGACATTGATTCTTCTGTACTCGATAGAAAAAGGGACCACAAAGATAGATTGTGAATGAGACTTGCTGGTGCTTTTACCATCTAAATTTATGTATTGACTAGATTGCTCTTTCCTTTGATTTCAATTAATAAGAAATAGCTAATCGCAGCTTAAAACTGCAAAATGTTCAGCACAAGGAAACATAAAAACTGGGAAAAATTAAATACTCTCAAAATGTGAAGTGTTTGGTAAGAAAGATTGAACGCTATCTTATAAAAAGTGACAGAATGTACAATGGCACAGTAACCATTCAAGAGGAATTAACATCATATCTGCTGCCATTCAGCCCTAAACATAATAAGCACGCAAAAAAAACCTTCAACGCATCCTTCCAGACTATACCCGTCGATTATTGCAACTAAAACACAGGGAACATACAAAACTCGTTGAGTTCTAATTTTAACTTCTTCATCTGCTTTGATCCACTTGTGCTCAAAACTTGAAAGGCCACCAAAAGAAGTGTAGATTTAGAGAAGGAATCGTCTCTTAAAAGGTTACAGCTCGTAGAGTATGAGATCAGTCGTAAATACAGGATCGTAAAGCCCCTGCACTAGCCAAAAGAAGGTAAAAAGAATATACATCAGTTTGTGCATGCTTTTTTTAACAAACAAGTAGAACTCAAGATGTATATCCTAAAGTAATTCGATAACTTGAATTGTAATCATGGTATAACAGAAACTGACCAACTCGTATGCATACCGAGCACAAAAATTGAAACCAGTAAGGTATCAACAAAATTAGCACTTGCAGACTGAAACGCCAAGATACCTACTTCCAGAATATATCCCAATCACAAATTTTCCCCATTAGGAACCCATTACCACTATGGTCCTTAATGTACAATATCAACTGCACCAGGTCGAGGCCTAAAAACTTCACATATGATTGGGTGACCTTTTAAAAAAAAGGGGCAGCACCAGGCTACCATGCTACTGCTATTTTTAACATATAATATTACCCGTATGTGAACTTCCATGCACTTCATGGCTTCATCCAGTTAACATTATCAAATCATATAATATCTCTGTCTAAGTTAACACTTGCAGTGTTTTTCCAAATAGCCTTAGGATAAGTTATCACATCTGCCTCACGACTTCTTTCTCTTTTTTCCCCTCCATATCAGTACTGGGATCAATTCATAATAGCACATCACCTGTCCCCAAACTTCTAAAACCTATTCTTACTCCATTGCCGCTCTAGCCACCAAAACCCAAAACCACCAGAGATACAATCTAACCAAAATTAAATTATTCACACGTACAGTGAACTTCACAAAAACCACATGCTTAGTAAAAGTTACGTTGTCTTCACATCGTGTAGTAAACAATGCAACCCATAAAACAATCAATCAAAGAAAATATTATATATCACACCATATGCCAGAGGTATAACTCACCAAGAGGCAACCTTCACAATTATATACAGTCAAGGGAAGTCACCCAATTCCAATAAAATATGGTTCACAAGAATCTTCCTACCATTTGATTGGAAACTTGTTATACTTTGCATTTGTATGCTATATACATGAAACTTCTTCTGAAAAGGAAGCATGCTTAGATATTATCGGGTACGATTGATTCTATGGCTATCAGTATCCGTCAAAGAACCTAATCTACAGGCAAATATCCTAATTTTCAAAGTACCACCAACAGTCAGAAGAATTTCAACGAATAAGTGCTTGTTTGGGTTTCACTATAAGCAGTTAAAATTATAGCATGACAAAAATGAGAGGTGGATAAGTGAGTAGTATTTGTAGGTCTACAAATGTGTTGTTAAAATTAAAGTTTGATTTTGATTTTTAAATGATAAGGAATGACAATGAAACAAAAACGAAAAGAAGCACTAAGTCTTCAGACTGTTCTGAAATAATGAAATTATATGCCATTATAATTATAAATATGACAAAAATGGGAGGAGGATAAGTGTGTAGTAGTTGTAGATCTTATGAAATGTATTGTTAAAATTAAAGTTTGAGTTTGACATTTAAATTATAAGGAACTTACAATGAAACAAAAACAAGCACCAAGTCTTCAAACTGTTCCGAAATAATGAAATTTGTCATGAATTAAATGTTATTGTGATTTCTTTTATAGAAAGATCCAGTACCCACTTTGGCTCTATTTTATCAATGCACTAAACAAGCTCAAAATTATGACAAGTCTGGCAGTCAGAGAGAAATCCCAAAGAAGCTTTTAGACTTTATATACATGATTAATCATAATTCATATCAAGATTCTGATTTCGGTTGACCAAAAAACAAGGGAAGGAGCAAAGTAAGAAATACTGCCTACTTCAAAACACATACATGATACAAGACCATGCCGAAACTTGAATTTTCCTCATAATGAAGTAAATACCAAAAACGAAGAGCAAATCTGGCAACCATTTAGTTCAAATCTTAAGTGCCTTTGTCATTGTTTATTTCCCTTTTGGGCGGAGAGAGTCAAGAAATGTCTTCCCAACAAATGTTAATAATTTGTTCACACTAATCATTAATCATTGTCTTATAAGAACTTGCAGCGCATAGCTTAAAACTGCAAATTTTCATTACAAGGAAAGAAAAAATAAGGAAAAAAAATTAGTAAATGCAACCAAGAGTACCTTCGTTACTCAGTTGCCACATTATACGATCATATACATGTACTCAGATCAGAAAACAAGCCTTCATAAGCAACAAGCTTGTACCTTTTTTAACTATTCAATTATAAACCAAAACACAAACATTCAATGTGAGCATTTTTGGGATTTCAAATCACCAATAATCCAATCCCATAACCAAGGAGCTTAGCCACATCAATCGGTACAAATAACACCATACATATGCGAGCATCCTCACATTAAGACAGAAACAGAGAAACAAAGAATCAAACAGATATTTTAGTTACCTAAATCAGCATCAATTTATAACTCAATTTCATTCTAAACAGCAATAGAGTCAATAGTACCAAGATTTTGGAATAACCTACTAGTTTCTTTTTTTCTTTTTTTTCTTTTTCCCAAAAAGCAAAAGAAAGAAAAGGGATTTCGAGACAGACCAGAAACGAATCCACAATCATGGAGCTTGATGAACCTCATCAGCATCTTTATCACCACTGCTAGAAGAAGAAGAGCCTTCGCCATGATTGGTATTCGGTTTATTTGGTTTGGAGGTGGGAATTGGATTGGAGCCTTTGATGATCCAACCGAGAGCGAAAAATGACAAACCCGCGAGTATAGCGGTGCCCCAAGCGTGAGAGTACCACTTACTGTACTGCCTAATAGCGAATCGCCATTGATCTCTCAGCGTTGCAGCATCCGGGTTCACCGTTTCAGGTGGGTTCGGATAGTGGGTTCCACCGGAGCACCCTGTCGGAATTTTGGGTGGGTCCGTCGGAGGAGTGAGGTTTTGAGTGGGCTTAACCTCAGGATTTTGCTTGTCGGCCATCGAATGAGTTTGGCAGTTTGCTACTTGCACCGAACAAATGATCCAGAAACAGAGTATACGACTACAAGTAAATATACACACCATTTTTTCAGTTACCCTTAGCATATATTTATATTTTGCAGTGAAAATTTTATTAGGATTTCAAATGTAAGTCAAAATTTTAATGAAAAGGGAAAAACAAAACCAAGTCCAGACAGTAATTTTTAGTTTGTTAATTGTTTTAATCTTTAATAATTTTCAAACTTATATTCTCAATTTTTTGCGTCATTTTTATCCTTAAATTTTAAGTAATTAGTATATTTTATTTCTCATCACAGTTTTTTATTCTAATATTCTGCTATTATGATTTGAAAAGAAAATAGATATTGCGTCAAAATTATATGTTTGTGTGTATTGTTTATTTAAAAATATGAAAGGCAAATAATTGTTTACGCCCTTCTCGCTGATTTTTTTGAACTAAACCATCGTAATTACAAGATGTGTTATTAATAGAAGATTGAAGATAAATATACACAGAATAAAGTCGAAATCATAAGTATAAAAATGAACAAAATTTGAGAACCTTCATTTGCTATTAGAACTAGTGTATTCACATATATATTATGATACGTTTGTTAGGACTTTCAAAAAGCGAGAAGTTATTTCTAAAAATGCTTTATCTAACTAAAAGAACTTTCAAACGAAACTTACCTAAAAACAAAAACCTACAAAATAATCCCTTTAGGCTATGGACTGCAGTTTTATATTTTACCGTGAACCAATGGCTCAACCTTTAAGCTCAAAGGCCAGAAATCAGTAATTACCTCAGAGCACCAAGAATAATGGTGTTTAAGATTTTATTACATTTTAAATTATTATTTTTGCAAATTCTTCGAAAGAAAGTTGAAATGGCAACTTTTACAAGTCTTTGTTAACTCAAAAATAGTGATAATTCCATAATGATATCAAAGAATGAGACCATTCCGGCAGAGTAAAAGTCGTCCGCCAACAATATTATGTTGAACCATCTCATTTTATTTATAATTATATAATTAATGTATAACATGGACGAACCAGCAATGACGATGGAGTGAACATCTGTTGTAACAATAGCCAACAGAGAAATATAATAATCCGTGAACTCGTATCCAGCTACTTGCTTGATATCAATTCTTGGAGCATTGCCAAAATTATTTGCGAGCTTCCGACTTCTTCTGCTCTTTGGCTGCAGGAAGGAAAAAATTCAAAACATAAAATAAAATTCCACTGAAAATTCAACTTTTGAAAATACAACTCTGGCAGTTACCAGTTTTCTCCTCTTCTCGTTTTTTAGCTGCTTCTGCTCTCTGTTGTCGTATAAGGGCCAAACGCTCTGAAAGGTTAAAAACCTCAATCAATAAATGGAAAAATCAATATAGCATTCATCGTCTCCTTTAGGAAGATGGGAAGTGTAAGACAAGCTGTTCCTTTATATTTTTTATTTATTTTCCCTTTTTTTTTTTTTGTGGGGAGGGGGGTGGATATAACTGCATAATTAAGGCTAAGGAACAAACTCTCAGCATGTTCAAATCGTTACCTAAATCTTTCCTCGCCTGTTCTGTCTTTCCTTGTTCTTGCAGCCTCATGTACCTTTCGTGAGCTTTTTGTCTTTCAATCTCCTCTCTATAAAACAATGACAGAACAAAGATAAAGTAATGAATACTTCAGACCACATAATAGTTGGCCAGCTCTATCAAAACCATATTCAACTCTACAGTGGATGGTCATTGGTGGGGTCTATCTGGAAGGAATATAATAAAGCTCACAGCACAACCATACCCCACAGTGGCAATGTAGCATCCCCAAAAAAAAAAAAAAAATTAAAATAAAATAAAATAAAAAAAAAAAAAAAAAAAAAAAAAAAAAAAAAAAAAAAAAAAAACCTTGACATCAAGAAAATTGGATCTTATAAACATTAACAAGCAGCAGGAAATAATATAAACTAGAGCGGGAAAGCATTCAAGAACAAATTGGACCTTTCCAGCTTTCTTCTTTGGATCTTATTACACATGTCACATGGTGAGAAAATGAAGAGGGAAGGAAAAGGAAGTGGAAGAAAGACCCTTTTTCAATCATTTCCATTCACGTCCAAGGCCAAGAAAAACATATTCACAAACCTTTCACGCCTAGAAAGCTCAGTTGTTTTTTCCATCTGTCAAACAAAAGGATCATTCAGTAAATGAAAAACGCTACAAACTACTAATAGAACACAAATATTTAAAAGAGTATTACATCGATATCTCGTGCTTTCACGTTCTTTGGTTTTGCCACATTAGGATTGTCAACCTGAATAATACCTTGAGTGCCTTTCAGCTTCTGTACACAGCATTCACAAGAAAGAAAGCAGATGTTTATTTGTCTAGACATTTAATTAGAAGACAAAAGTGTATCAAGACACGCAGATCGCACTACTCAAAAACCCCCTAAACTGATTATGAAATGAAAAATTCACAAGCAAAATTGAGCCATATTTTACTGACTTCAGCTCCAGCTTCATCCTCAGACTCCTCTTCTGATTCTTCTTCAGATCTCTCCTCTTCTTCCAGCTCAGCTTCTTCCTGTTAATATACAGCAAAATAAATAAAACACAACTGAAAGGAAAAACAAACACAATCGTATGGAAATCGGAATTCAGAAGTATAATTAAAACATCTAAGATCCAGT